ATTGATTCCCTTGATATTCTTGACCTTTTCTTCTTCCAGATGAATTTCATTAATATTTTTTCTAGCTCTGTAAAGTAATGGTTTGGTAGTTTGATTGGTATGACACTAAATAAGTGAATCAACTTAGGTTAAACTGTCATTTTTATCTTTTTCCTCTGCCTACCTATGAACAATTAATATTACTCCAATAGTTTAGATGTTTTTATTTGTACAAAAAGTGCTTTTGTAATTGTGTTCGTATAATCCCCAGGTTTGTCTTGGCAGGTAAACTCCCAAGTATTTTATATTTTCTGTAGTTTTCTTTTTTTTTTCTTTTTATTTTTTGGGGTTTTTTTTGGGGGGGGGGGTTAGGCAATGGGGTTAAGTGACTTGCCCAAGGTCACACAGCTAGTAAATGTTATGTGTCTGAGGCCGGATTTGAACCCAGATCCTTCTGACTCCAAGGCCAGAACTCTATCCACTATGCCACCTAGCGACCCATTGTCTGTAGTTTTCTTAAATGGAAGTTCTCTTTCTATCTCTTTCTGCTGGGTTTTATTTGTAGTTCATAGAAATGCTGATGATTTACGTGGGTTTATTTTATATCCTGCAACTTTGCTGAAGTTTTTCATTGTTTGAACTAGTTTTTTAGTTGATTCTTTAGGGTTCTCTAAGTATACCACTATTTCAATATAATTGGTTTCCTGTGTAATCCTACATATTTTATTTTATTCATTTAAAAAAAATTATTCTGGCATGGGGTCCATAGTCCAGACTGCCAGTGAGGAGCCCGTGTCAGAATGAAGGGTTAACAATCTCTGCTAGACTTTCCTTTGGTGATTTCTTTTCCTCTTCTCCCCCACAGAGGCTTTCTGCCTACAGTGATGGGGATTCTGATGGTAGGCATTTATAGTTATTGACTGAACCTCCGATAAGACTCAGTCACACTGAAGTGTTGCCTCAATAGAGAACTTGTGATTTTAAGCCTTGAAGAAGTAGTTATAAATATGAAGTAAAAGGCTTTATCATTCATAACTAAGTTTGGGGTTTCAGCATCTAAGTGGAGAGATTTTTGCTTTAAGCATAAACCACAAATACCACAATCTCTTTAGCTCCTGTTTCCCAAAGTCTCCTCTCCTACCTCCCCTAAACTTTGTTCCAACCATAAGTTCCCTGCCAACCACCCTAAGGCTCTTAGAAGCAGTTTTTAGGTTTTATGGCACATTTGACATTATTTTAGTTGGTATTTGATCTTACATACTGTAACCTCCTCTTCCCACTCTTCCACATCTGGGTCCTTGAGCATATCTCTATGCCTCCTCTATCAGTAAGTTTCTGATAAATATGTTTTTAGAAAGCATCCTCTTCATTAATGAAGGCATTGCTGTACTATTCCTCTTAAGTCTTCTATCCGGATGCAAACTCATTATGACTTAGCAACATTGTATGACATGAGCTAATGTGCCATCTGGATGCATTATTAGAAGTGCAATGTCCAAAGCAAAGAAGGTTAATCCTGTTCTGCCCTATCCTGGTCAGAACACTCCTAGGATATTCAGTCAAGTTCTGGGTGCCATATTTTCTAAAGGGCATTGACTAAATTTCAGTGAGGTTGTGTGACTTGACAAAAGTCATATAAAGAATAAGTAGCAAAGCTAGGATTTTAATCTAGTTCTTTTGATCTAAATCCAGTGTACATTCTACTGTGCCATGAGTGAGCCTTTTACAACATTAAGATCCATGATTAAAATTTTACTATACCTTCTTTTTGTCTAATGTTAACTCATAGCTTTCATAGAGAAAAACTGTAGTTTCAGATAACTTCTAGCAATGTCCCAAGGAAGAGGCCCCAGTTGAATAGAGGTACCTTGGTCAGCTGAGTTCTACCAGCAGTAGAGTCGCAGAGAATGTTTGAGTTGGAGGGGCAGTCATCAATACCACTTGAAGAGTACTGATTTTCTTTCCCAGTCACCGGCCAATGAAAAAAGTGGAAATTGTTCACATGTGACTCTATACTGTTTTCGTCCTCATGGTAAAAGATAGAGGAAGTCATGTACACTCAACATTAGTTTAAAAAAACAAAAACATTTTGTAGCCAGCTCACAACTAAGGGCAGCTAGGTGGCACAGTAGGTAGAGTGTCCGGTCTGGACTCATCTTTCTCAGTTAAAATTCAAACTCAGACATTTACTAGTTGTGTGATTCTAGGCAATTCACTTAACCCCATTTGCCTCAGTTTCCTCATCTATAAAATGAGCTGGAGAAGGAAAGGCAAATCACTCTAGTATCTTTGCCAAGAAAAGCCCAAATGAGGTCAGGAAGAGTCAGACACAACTGAAAAATGACTGAATAACAACAATACAACTAACATGCTAACACGCAAAATTAGTTTTTGTAATTTTCCTAGTTTTAGTTACTTACATATACCCAGAAATTATCCATTTTTGTTGCACTGTGACATTGTAACCAATAATAATGACTTATGATAGGGCATTGTGATGTAATGCAGATAGAGAGCTAACCTCAGAATCAATAAGACCTAGGTTAAAGTTTTGCATCTGATGCTGATTGACTGTGACAATGACTTAACCTCCCAGCACTCCAAGTAACTGTGAGATTACAAATTGCAAAATAGTTATTGACTTGCATTGGAAGTTTATAATAATGATGATAATAATAATAATAACAATAGCAGTAGTAGTCATAGTGGTAGTGGTAACAGCTTTATATAGTGCATCATAATTACAAAATGCTTTTATAGAATCTCAGAATTGGGCCATCAAGGCCAGCTCGTAACTGAGCAGGAATCTCTTCTGCAGAATCTCTTGCTTCCTCGGAGTCTCGGCTGAAATCCCACCTTCTGCAAGAAGGTTTTCCCAGTCCTCCTTAATCTTATTGCCTTCCTCTGAGACTACTCCCACTTTATCATTTATAAATCTTATCTGTGTACAGTTGTTTTCATGTTTTCTCCTCCATTATACTGTGAGGCCCTGGACAGCAGGACCCCTGCGTTTTGCCTTTCCTTTTATCTCTAGCACTTGGCACAGTGCTGTTTTATTGACTGGCACACACATTTTGTTGTTCTTTCGTGTCTGACTCTTAGTGACCCCATTTGGGGTTTTCTTGGCAAAGATACTGAAGTGATTTGCCATTTCTTTCTCCAGCTCATTTTATAGATGAGGAAACTAAGGCAAACAGGGTTAAGTGACTTGCCCATGGTCACTCAGCTAGTAAGTATCTAAGGCCAAATTTGAACTCAGTAAGGGGAATCTTCCTGACTCCAGGCTAGTGCTCTATCTACTGTGCCACCTAGCTGCCCCAGTATGCACATAGTATGTGCTTAATAAATGCTAATTGGTTCTCTCCAACAAGTGGTCATCAAACCTTCACCTGAAAACCTCCAGTTAAGGAGACAACCCATTCCTCTTTTGGATAGCTCTAATTGTTAGTAATGTTTTTCATTATATGGAGCCTAATTCCGTTTTTCTGCAGCTTCTACCGTCAGGTGAAAATCTTCAAATATTTGAAGACAGTTATCATCCCTTCTTCCTGCCCCCCCCCCCCCACCTCTTTTCATTCCCATGCTAAACATATGCAATTTGTTCAGCCCATCAACCTGTGTTATGAATAGGCAAACTTTTGCCATCACATCTTTGAAAGGCTGTCACAACAGATTTGCTCTGCTTGGCCCTGGAGAACAGAACTAAGAACCATAGGTGGAAGTTACGGAAGGACATGTTTAGGCCATCATGTTACTCCTCTTACACTTTAATCTTCTCTAAGTAAAGTGTCTCTCATTTCTTCAGCCAGTCTTCATATAGCATGAACTTGGAGCTTTTCCTTCACTATTCTGGTTACTCATCCCTAGATGACCTAGTAGGTGATCTCCTATTTAGTGATATCCTTCTTCAAATGTGGCGCTAAGAACTAAACATGATATTCTAGAAGTGTTCAGCAAAATATAACAACAGTATTACCTCCCTAGACCTGGACATTCTTCCTCTCTCCGTTCTGCCATAGATTGCTCTAATTTCTTTGACTACCTTATCACACTGAAAACCATGCAAATTTTATGACAGGACTTATAGGTGAGGAAAATAACGCTCAGGTAAGTTGATTACACAGCTAGTGAGGAGACGCGTTGAATCTCAATTCCAGTCTTTTTGACTCAAACCACAATGTACTTTCCATTACACTACACTGCTCCTCAGGCTAGATGACCAGAAATGGCCACCCCAGTAACCACCGGATTAATGTCATCATAAAGTATCGGTTGATTCCCTCCTTGACTTCTAAAGACATAATCTCAGATAACTTTGGCACAGGCAAACTATATCAAGGATATAGCTTATTCAAAATAACTGAAGAAACACTGAACAAATAAAATAAATGTAAAAATAATAGTACTAACAAATGTTCATTTTATGGCATTGGGAGAAAGAGTTAACGGTGAAGTGAGTGTTATTAGAGTTTTATGTTTAGACAGCGAGGCCAGGAAAAAACCAACACCTATTTGCAATCAATCATGGAAGGCCTTGTACAGGCGATGTTTTTAGAACCTCTATGGATAATAGGAGGAAGAGATGTGGACAGGCTCAGGAAATAAGGGCATTGTAGGATATCTGGGAGGACTGGAAGCAGGGCTACTATGAATGAAAAAAAGAAACAGTGAATTTTAATTTGCTTGAGAAAGCTAGAGGGAATGGGTAAGTGAATGAGTGGAAAACTAAGGAAGTGAGAGATTATCCTTTTGAGAAGCAAAGCTTCTATTTTTCAATAGATTGCATATTTCAATAAGAATAGAATTGTAGAATTTTGAAGCTGGATGCTACCTCAAAGACTATCATGTCTCACCTTCTCATTATACAGATGAGAAAACTGAGGCTCAAAGAATAAGTTGCATGGCTACTCAAAAGCAGAACTAGAAACCCAAGTTTCCTGACTCACAGTTCCACATATTTTCCACTCCTCTACAAATAATGTCATTCTCCAAATAATATATTGTGCTATCATGTTTTTCAGAGTGAGGACTCAGATGAAGAAGACCTATGTATCAGTAACAAATGGACTTTTCAAAGGACAAGCAGGAGATGGTCTCGAGTGGACGACATCCACACGTTGTTCCCCCAAGCAAACAGACATGGATCGTCTGGGGACATCAGAATGAAAACCACCACAAGCAGTGAGAGCGTCCTTACTGACCTGAGTGAGCCTGAGGTCTCTTCTATTCACAGTGAAAGCAGCGGAGGGAGCGACAACAGGAGCCAGTCTGGCATCAACAGTACTGGCAGAGAGGTGTTTGACTGTACAGGACAGTACTGTGGGGAAACCCCAGTCATGCTCGACTCCACTTTGGTCAGCGGCAGCTTCTTACAGAACCCCAAAGACATTGCCAGTTATACTTTTCACCCAAAGAATGAGAAACCAGCGCGAACCAGAGCCAAATCTTTCTTAAAACGCATGGAGACGCTAAGGCCTAGAGGGACTCATGGCAAGGTAAAGGGATCAGCAAGGACAGGTGGCTTGGTAATAAGTGGGCCTGTTCTTCAACAGGAGCCAGAATCCTTAAAGACCATGCACTGTGTGCCATTAGCAAATGGGGATTTCCAAAACCCACCCCAAGATGCAGCCAAGAAAGGACTTCCATTCTCTGCCAAATCCAGCAGTGATAGCAGCCAATCTGAAAACAGCAGTAGTGGTGTGAGCACACCCTGCTTGAAGGATCGCAAGTGCCATGAAGCCAACAAACGAGGGGGGATGTATCTGGAAGACCTCGATGTTCTGTCTGGGACAGTACTGCAGGAAGTCATTGACCAAAACCATAAAAATGACTTTCATTCCCAGGAGAATCTTGTGGTCCATATTCCCAAAGACCACAAGCCAGGAACCTTCCCTAAGGCACTTTCTATTGAAAGCCTCTCACCAACAGATAATAGCAATGGGGTGAACTGGAGGACGGGCAGCATCTCTCTGGGCAGGCAACAGTGCCCTAGTACGAAAGAACCTAGACTTATGACTTCTTGTCACAGAGAAAGTAGAGTTAGTATTTATGACAATGTCCCTGGCTCACACTTGTATGCCAGCACTGGAGATCTTTTGGACTTAGAGAAGGATGATCTCTTCCCCCATTTAGATGACATTCTGCAACATGTTAATGGACTCCAAGAGGTAGTGAACCACTGGTCAAAGAATGTCTTGCCTGAGCTACAAACAGATGATGCATTAGCTGGGGAACCTGGCTTGTCGCCCTTTCCATCTCCCAACCAGATTACATTAGATTTTGAGGGGAACTCAGTTTCTGATGGTCGTACAACACCTAGTGATATGGAAAGGGATGGAACCTCCCTTAATGACTCAGAGGCAGCTGGAGTCAGAGAAAGGAGGGATTCTGGGGTTGGAGCATCACTCACCCGGCCAAATAGGTTGGTAATAACATTGATACACTTTCCTTTTTTCTCCACTAATTATGAGGAAACTATGTCAACAGAAATATAACATTCATTCAGAAAAGTATAGTGATTGAACCTAAGTTGAATTCCTATAATCCTGAATGTTTATCCTCTATTTCTACTTTATAAGTTTAACTAGAATGTTTGATTGGGATTTAAAATTTTTTAATTTAATCAAAAGGAGGATCGCTGTGACCTAGTAGAATGGCATTTTTGTAAATTTGATCTTGGTTTGACATTCCCTTTAATAAAAACCAGAGTCTTGACTTACATTGCAAATACCACTTCACAAAAAAAGTGACTGCATAATGATTATCTGGTAATAAACCCTTTCTTTTAATATAGGAACATTAACACCGTGTAGATTAGTACTTGTGTGTGGTAGATCCAGGAGTTCACTGAAATGTAGTATGATTACTGTGAACGTGTTTCCTTTGTATTTGTCACCTCCCCCCAAAACCAAATGAATTTCATTTGAAAAGTTGGAGCCAATAGAAATGCCCAGTGGTTTTAAATAGAAATACGAAGTACCATTTGAAAAGCAGTATAGAAAACACTTTTCTACAGTAAGTAGTATAGATATAAAAATAGTGTAGATAACTACTCTATAACCTCTGAATATTTAAGAAGTACTTACTTGTTTAAAAAAAAAAAAGGCAGCTAGGTGGTGCAGTGGATAGAGCTCTGACTTTGGAGTCAGGAGCACCTGAATTCAAATCTGGCTTCAGACACGTGACACTTACTAATTGTGTGACCTTGGGCAAGTCACTTAACCCCAATTGCCTCTCAGGGAAAAAAAAAACTCTTTGGAACTCAGAAGGAGATGGAACTTTGTATTTCTTTATTTTATATGGCTAACAGTAATTAATAACAACAATGGTAATAGATACCATTATATAGAGCGTTAATGTTTTCTGTGCTGTGAAAGGCTAGCCTAGCACTGCCACCTTTTCTATAGTTTGTTGAATAAGATCCAGTGAACCTTGCTTTGCTATCTGCAACTTTACAAATATTAGCTCGTTTTGTCCCTCACAACAACCTTAGGAAGTAGGAGCTGTCATTATCCCCATTTTACAGATCAGGAAACTGAGGCAGACAGGTTAAGTGATTTGTCCAGGGTCACACGGCTAGTAAATGTCTGAGACTAGGTTTGAATTCAAGTTCTGACTCCAAGTCCAGTGTTCTATCCACTTGCTCCACCTGACTGCTTTTGGTTTTCTTAGTTCTGTGTATTTGTATTAACTCTTGCCAAATACTTATAAATTATCATCGTCATGTATTTTTGAGTCGTATAATAATCTGTTTCTCTGGTCTTCTGGTGAAGGAGGTTACGATGGCATAGTTTCCAGATCTCCCATCAGCCGACTCACTCCCTAGCCTCTCCACAAATCAGTAATCAGACAGCTGGCCAGTTGAATCTCCTCCAGCGATTCTCACTCCTTCGCCTCACTGCCATCATGGAGAAGTATTCCATGTCAAATAAACATGGCTGGACATGGTAAGGAGCATATATTTACCTAAGAATAAATGCTTTATTCTAGTCTGAAGCAACTTAAGGTAGTAGCAAAGCCTTGATCTCTTTATTTTCTGTGTTCTGAAAAGCCAGCCCAGCAGTGTGACCTTTTCTAGAGTTTACTGAGTATGATCCATTAAGCCTTGCTCTGCCATCTGCAGCCCCACACATCATTATGGGCAGTCACAGCTCGCAGATACCTAGATTCTAGTAAGCTTTGCTTTATTTGGAGTCCTCAATTGGTTTCCAGGGAAGGTAGTCAGGCTTTAGGAAAGAAAAAAAAAGATGAGTAAAAAATGATTAATTATGAACAGAGGAATTAAAAATAAACCTGCCATAAAATTAGTCTGGCAGTTTGAAAAGGAACATCTGTCGCTTGTACCTCATAAGTGTGTAGCTTATTGGAAGAGCTCAACACTTACTCCATTTATTGAATTCAAAGGGTGTCTAATCCCGTCAAAAAAAATTTTTATTTTTGTTTTATTGGCAAATACAAGCAAGAGTACACAATAAACCTTGTGCCTAAGGAGGTGGCAAAAATGTAGGTTTGGACTTAACTCTGGACCAGCTTTGGGTGGTTTAGAGAATTCTGAGATATGAGAAGTGTCAGAAATCTATTCTATATGGATTTAAATGTTCTAAATCTTGTTGATACCAACATAGTTGACTGTAAAAAGAATTTAGAAAAAATTAGAAATGGGGCCATTTTTATAGTAAAAATTCCATATATTCAAAATTATGCATCTGTAATTAGCTATTAAATACATTATTCATTTATATTTTCTATAAAGTGTCAATTTCCTTTCTTCTGAAAGTAAAGCTGGAACTAAAGGAAAAGCATGCTGCCTCTTATCTTAAAGATGGGCACACCCTCTTTTTCCTGGTTTGTTTGTTTTGTTTTAAGTGTATTCCTTCCTTCAGATCACAACCACCCACTTCAAGGCTGCCAAGTTCTTATTCTTGAGAACAGGGTTTATAGCTATCTCCTGCTAAAATAAATTTTATTTGGTTGCTTCATAGTCCTTAAAGTCTTATATGATCTTCATTAAGAGTGGAAAAACCTAAACTCTATTTGTATTCAATGAGGTTCTTAAAAAAAAAAAAATAGGCAAGGCTTTTGCTCTTGCGAAAGCAGCCGCCCTTCTTAGGAGCCTATATAACCTGGTTCATGTGAATTCTAGGTCAGTGCCAAAGTTCATGAAAAGGATGAAAGTGCCTGACTACAAAGACAAGAATGTCTTTGGTGTTCCACTGATTGTTCACGTCCAGAGAACAGGACAACCTCTTCCTCAGAGCATTCAGCAAGCACTGAGGTATCTGCGCAGCAACTGCCTTGATCAGGTAAACTGTCGTTTCATTTTAAGCCAGAATGTGAGTGACTCCTAATAGGAGGCTAGACTACCTTGAAACTGCCTCCTATCATGGAACAGAGGCCTGCTTCGGAAGAACATGGAGAAAGATGGGGGCACTCCTTCTCCATTAAATGTTTACTTGGCCCCAACCAACTGTCTGCCGAGTAATATGATGAGGTTTTATTGTTGAAAGATTAAGTGAAATTCCTGCAATAATTGGGGTAGGTGGGAAACCCTCACCTTAAAGCAGAGAGTTCTTAACCTTTTTTGTGTGTCATGAACCCTTTAAGGATTTGGTGAAAGCCAATGGAACAGGCTCACTGTCGTGAGGAAGCTCTAAAACAAAGACACATTTATTTACCTTCAAAAATAAACCTAAGAGAAATATAGAGGGCAGCTAAGGGTCCTAGTGGGTAGTGCCAGGCCTGGAGTCAGGAAGACTCGTCTTTTGGAGTTCAGATCTGGCCTCAGACACTGACTAGCTGTGTGACCCTGGACAAGTCATTTAACTCTGCCTCAGTTTCTTCATCTGTAAAATGAGTTGGAAAGGAAACAGCAAACCACTCCGGTATCTTTGCCAAGGAAACCGCAAACGAGGTCATGAAAAGTCAGACACGACTGAAACAATTAAACAACAAAGAAAAATATGAAAGTAATATCAGCTATGCCAAATGCCACTTTCTACCCAACCAACAACAGAGACAATGGAAGGGGAAAAAGTAAACTATGCTTGTCTGGACAAGGTCAAAAGGGATTAGCCTAGTGTGCTATATGATTACTATTAATGAGCCCAATTCTCTTCTTTGAAGTGAGAAGCAAGAGTATATTTTGAGACAGTGGGGACAAAAGCCTTTAAAAGTCTCTTCTCACTGGCTTAAAATATTTTTAAAGGAATAAAAATACATAGGATTTTGGAAGAAACCAATTATATCAAAATATAGTTACCAAATATATAGGTATATATATTTTTAAATAAAACAAGTTTATATATATGTATTTTTTTTAATAAAACAAATTCACAGACCCCAGCATAAGAAAGAACCCTTACATTAAAGATTTTTTGGAGATGACTTCCAAACTGGGTTAATTGGAAACTGTAAGTTCTTTAGACTCTGTATTGCTGTTTTATTTTTATTTTTTTTAATTTTGGGCCCACTCTCATTAAGTCTATATTTTCATTTATGTTCCTTTTATCCCTATTTTATTCTTTATTTTAAGATTTAGGCCATACATCTCATTATTCCTTTTCATTTTTTTTAGACCAACACTATTGTGATGAAACCTTGACCAAAAATATTTATTTACATTCAAAAATAAGCGTATATAAGGAAAATATGAAAGCGATGTCAGTCACACCAAATATACTTTTTACCCAACCAACAAAAGTTAATAGAGAAAAAAGTAAACTGTGTTTGCATGGACAAAGTCAAAAGAAAGCCTGTGTTACTACTATTAATGAGCCCATTTCTCCCCTTTTGAGCAAAAGTCAAGAGTATATTTTGAGATAGTGGGGATGGAGCCTTAGAAGTCCCTACCCACTGGTTCATGTCCCCTCCCCATTTCACACCTTGGATTCATAGCCAACTTTATATACCTTTCCCTGTTAAGAAAATGGAAGGATCTGAAGCCAGCCTATAGTCCTTAAGTTCTAGGAGGAAAAAGTAGGGAGTTAGCTAGCTTGGGATAACTAAGTATATGTCTGTTCTTTAAGATCAAATGAGATAATATATTGAAAGCATTTTGCAAAATTTTAAGATCTTATATAAATTATGTTAAAATTACAAGTAAGGCCATCTGACAACTTATATCAGATAACAAAGGGATTTGCCACAATCACTAGTAAATTTTCATATATAATCATAATGGCTGGCATTTATAAAGTGCTTTAAAGTTTGCAAAATGCTTTACATGGATTATCTCATTTAATCTCCACAACCTTGTAAAGTAGGTGTTATTTATCAGTCCCATTTTACAGATAAGAAAACTGAGGCTGAGAGAGGTTAAGTGACTTGCCCAGCCTCACGCAGTCAGTAAGTATCTGAGACAGGATACAGACATGGGTCTTCCTGACTGTCTATTGAATTTGTATCCCCACTGCCTAGCATTTTGCTTAGCACTTAATAAATACTTTTTCATTCCTAAGAGCATGTAGGAGAATCTGGCCTTTGACACGTTTTTCTCATCTTCACCCTCATATTAAAAATAGTATCTTCAAGCCCTCTTTATTAAGTGATAGCTTCAAGGGCGAATGGTATATAATTTATATACCTGCCTGCCCCATTCATGTCTTCCTTAGCACCTATATAATGTCTTGAGGTCTTGTACCTCTTACAAGGCTGAAAGGAATATCTATGTTGTTTGTCTCAAGTTTATAACCCCGTTTGGAGGTGCTAATGGCCCGGTTTTCATCTAGTACAAATGTTGGATTACTGTCCAAGCATTAACTCTGATTGTCAGTGATTTTTGCTTTCTCTTACAAATGAGGCTGGGCCCGAGCTTTATGCAATGTTTTCTGGCATGTACTTTCTCCTTGCTGTGAAACCTTACTGGTCACTGTAGCTTCATGTGCTGATTTCTTCCCATTTGATATGCCTGACATTCTTACTAGCCTAAAAAGCATGTAGCCAGTTCTACACAATTTCTATGTGCTTAAGAGATTGAGTGATATCAGTATGTATATCAATAACAAACCACTTAGTTCCTCCATATCTCAAACTTTCCATCAGGCCTGCCTTCTTGTATGATGTCACTTTGTGGAGACACTGCCGATTGTGGGTTTGTTCTGTCCTACTCTTAAACAGAGATGACCTGCAAAGAATAATCTATGGCAGTTCTTTTGGCCTTCAGCAGACCTGTACCTTCTGATTAACCAACCACTTTGCTTTCCTGTCTTCAGAACACCATCCCCAAAGACCTTAAATTGTCTAGGCTCTTTCCATCACAACCCTATCATTTATTTTCAGAATGGTCTAAAGAATTATTTCTTTGAAAAGATTATCTGCACATTAATGTATGGACTATGTCGATGGCACCACAGTGCTGAAACTCTCCCCCTACTCTTCTAGAATAGAATGAGGACATTAAATATGCCTATAAACATATTTTTTATGTTTATACTCTCTAACAAAGAAAAAAAGGGGGAAGGGTAGGTGGGAAGTGCAGGGGAAAGAATTTGTGTGTGAGGTAAAGTTGCTGATTTTCTTGTTTGACAATATTATCTCTTGGTGAGTTGTAAAACTGTCTGTGCATCCTTTTTTAATGTTTGTCCTCATTACCTACCATTTGACATTCTGACCTTCTTCGAGGTCAGAAAACGAGTCTTTACCTTTCCTCTAGATCTATGCCATCATAAGAGTGATGATTTCATTGCAATAAGCAATTCCCAGATGAGGAAATTCTTTTAACAATCCAATTTGTTAACTTCTTGGTAAAGTCTTAAAGAGTTTCCTAGTCTCTCCACTGAGACGCTTGCCCAGGGTAACTCAGCCAGCTAGTGTCTAAGCAAGGATTTAAACTTGGGTCTTCCTGACCCTCAGGGCTAGCTTTTGATCCAACCCTGTCAGATAGATGCTCTTATTGTCTCTTTTTCTTACAGGTGAAGAAACAGATACTGAAAGAGGTTGCCCAGGGTCAAATAGGAAGTGTCTAAGGTGGGATTCAAACTTAAGTGTGACTTCAAGTCCAATATTATTATCAACTATACCAAGCTACTTCCAAAAAGGGGGCTGGGTCCTAGTGGAAAGAATGGGAATGGATTAGAGAGTAGTAACCAAAGTGAGCAGGAGGAAGGACTAGAATAGGAAACAGCAGTACAAAATGGAAGATATGAAACAAAGAAAACGACCAAAATGATGTGGGTCAAAAGGAAAAGACCATTCTAGGGTATTTGAAAACAAAGAACATAAGGGGAAAAAAAGAGAGAAAAGTAAAGTAGAATAAAATTCATCTTTCCGATAACACCAGCTCCTTTGAATCGAGAAGAATGGTTTGTGCTTACAATTTGAGACCCTATCCCCAAATAACCAAAAGATGTAGACCAAAAGGTTGCCCTCACTCCCCTAGCCCTGAACCACCCAGAGTTGGTTGCTTGGCTAATCATGTCTGCTGACAACCCCCCACTTCTGCCACTGTCTAAGCCTCTTTCAAGGCTTCTCTTTTTTTTTGTTTTTGTTTTTGTTTTTTACTGAGTCTTCTTTGCAACTGGCAAGCCCAATTCCCCATAACAAGCACTTATTTTAAATACTTGAGTATTGTACTGTGGAACCCTGAAGTATTGCCGAAATTACCACCTCATCTACTCACTGATGCTGAGTAGTTTATGTGTGATAAAGTATAACTGATCCATTTTTGGCCCTTACAGCTGGCTGTAGATGAAATGAGGAAATCTAGCCTTCAATTATGGGCCATTTGTATTCAGACATAGCGTTTGGGTAAGAGGAGTATCTGTGCCTTTCTTTGTTGGCCGAGCTCTAATTTCAGTCCTAAATCAACTGTGCATTGAAAAGTAGATTAGACTCATCTCATGGCAGAAATGAAGGCACTAAAACTACAAGCTAAACCTGTGATATAAACCTGCTACCTAATAGTGTGTGTAGAGCCTCTCTCCCCCCTCCCCCCTCCTGTCCCCTCTCTCTCTCTCCTGTCCCCTCTCTCTTTCTCTCCTCCCCCCCCTCTGCCCCAGAAGAAAGCCAACCTTTCTTTATTAACTAAGCTCTTCCCTAAGAAGGGGAAATGGAAGTTCTGATAAATATCAGTAAACACCAAAGGGGATTAGCATAAACAGGATGCCGTGGAGGAGATTTAATATTATTTAGATCAAATTTGAATTCTAATGCAGCACTATGTGTTCAACCTATCATTCTAATGGAGATGTAAGTTTTAGAAGCTTAATTCTGTTGCCAAAGACACTTTGTATTCAGTACTGAAGGCTGCCCCACATCTCACAGTCCCCTATCTCTTAGATAAAATGAATGATGCTCCAGAGCCTTACTAGTTCAATGGCACCTTGAATCGTCTCTCTAAAAGCCTGGCTTGTGTGTGGAGGACAAAAGAAGGAAAAGAAAATGGAACCCGGGTGGGGGGGGCGCCAGGGGAACTTCACTCAATTCTTTTGTCTCTCCATAAAATGCCATTTTTCCAGAAATGTCAACATGTAGCAGAAATGAATTCATCTGTCTCCATTTTGCTACAACTAACCACACTTGTTTTCTACTTATAGTTACAGAATCTGAGTCACATCAAGGGTAGGTTGACTTCCTAAAGTCTCGTAACAATTGAATTGCTAGGCCGAAAAATAACTATACCAAAGGGATTCTAGTTCCTCTTGTGCTACTTTTAACTAATGCCAGGCTAATCTGCACTTGTTCATCAGATTAGGGTGTGTCCTTTGTCTGTTATAATAGGAACTTGTATTTGCTAAAGAGAGGTTTCTCTGTTGTTTTTTTTTTTTTCCTAGTGTGTTAGGCATGAACAGACTTCTCTAGAATATCAGCCAGGGCAGTCTCATTTTCATTTCTTTCCTCTGTGATAAGGAGCCTACATCAGGCTTCTGATCCATAAAAAAGTCAGGGACTGGGGGCATTTGGCAGTCAGTAGGCCCAGGAAATGAACGACTGCCCTCCCCTCATTGAGCTAAGCAGAAGGATAATGCCCTCAATGTGGGTCAATGTCATTGGCACCACTCCTGTGCCTGATTTAATTTTGTCTGAATTTGAACCACTTTCCCACTTGAATGCTGTAACTACAGAAGTCGCCCAACCAAGGAGGCAGGAACAAACATTTATTAAACACCTACTATATGCCGGGCACTGTTAAGCACTTCGAGGTATTATCTCATTTGATCTACCTAAGAGTGGAAAGCAGTGCACATATTAGCTAGCTAGTTCTTCTGTCAGTTGTACCTGAGGATGGAGCTGAGGAAGTTAGAGGACTACCTCTCAGTGGTTAGGATGGAGGATCCCCTTGGAAGCAGCAGTTTTAAGAATGTTTTCTTCAGGGCTACCATAATTTTTCACTTGGAAAATAATTTGAGCAATAAGCATAAACCTCAGTTTTATTAAAATCTTAGGAACATCCAGTGTGTTCAGGGACTTGCCCAAAGAAGCAATACATGCTGACAACAGAAGGCATATTGATACTTGCCTTTTTCCCAGTTTACAAAAAAAAAGCTTCCTTTCATCCCCTATCATGCTATATGTAAGTTTCTCGACCTTTGTTCCACTAAAAAAAAAAGTATCAAATCTTTTCCTAAAAAATTGGCAAGGCTGTTGTTTTCTAAGTCTTAAGACCACCTATCCTTTAGCAATTTAGAAAAAGCTTCTCTAGGACATAAAATCAGGAAAAATTAACAAAACCCCCAGTATTTTCACACATCTCTAAAGGAATGAGGGTATATGGATAGTAGGTTAGGGCCAGAATTCTAGGCATTGCATACACCTTGTCCATCCTTAGAATATCCTCAAAGGCCTAAGTTAGAACAAGTAATAGAGCAGTCCTAGACATGTTTAAAATAATTAAATTCACATTTAAGGATGTTTGCTGAAGCTGGAAAGTAACTTAGAAATGGCACAGTGGAAAGAAAACATCCTTGGGGTATGTACATGCATATTAATATGTGCAGGGAGATGCAAGACACAAGAGACAAAAGAAAAAGCGTCCCTCTGTCATTTACAACAGAAACATGTTGGCTTAATTCTCATAGGCCTCCATCACTATTTCACTTCCTCTGCTATAAGTTGAAAGGAAAAATGGTAGTAATGATTCTCAAGTGGGATGATGCCAGTTCACTTGGGAATAAATATTTATGAGTCATGCTCAAGAACTCACCTTCAGGGTATTTCAATTCTGAAAACTCTAGTGCAATATAGCCCCTATAGCACAATACAGGGCCTGCTTCCAGAATTACCTCTCTGGGGTTTACTGACTCGATTTCTTTCTCAAAGACCAAACCTTAAACCCGATTAACTCTGGAGCTCATAGATTGGACAATGGTAGGTCCCTGGCCAAGCACCACTTCATGGTTGTTTTTTGGGACCTCCTTGCTCAGAGTGAATGTAAATAGTAACACTTGCTTTAGAGAAATAAGGGAAGTAAACAGATTGAAGATAGAGTTCACTAATTAGCTCCACTAATAATCTCTTCCAAGTCTTGACTTTGTCTTTTGACAGGGTCTGTTTTTGTTCCCATGCAGCTTGGTGGAATTTGGAATATCTGAGAAAGAAACATGGTTAGATTTTTTTTTTTCAAGGAGTGCTACCTAAACCATGTAGCTAATCATGCCATATAAAAGGCTTTGTTTCCTGGCTACACGCAAAACTTTTTAAATTAACTGACAGTTCCACTGAGAAAAGCCATGCACACACTGATCTGTTGGATTAGGTCGATAAGATTTGGCATAGGAGAAGATATTTCTGTGTGTTCTTTTATTGCCACAGAATGTATCAGGGAATCATTTTCCTTGTGCTCCTTCCAGCTGACATTTACATAGACCTGAACATTTGCTAATTCTTTGAAATCTTTCCCTTGCTGTTAACTGCAATTTAAAATAGACACAGCTTTCCATCTGGAACAACAAACAGGACCCCTACAAAGACACTGGAACCTTTAGCAAAGTTTGCTTCCCGAGAGGACACTTGGTTATTGCACATTTACATTTTTTTAAGCAAAAGATGGGAGCAATAGCAGCTTATTGTCCTTGTTCACCTTGCATTTCAGAAACTTTCCTATCTTGCTTTAAAAATAACAGTAATAATAGTTAATATTCATGTAATGTTTTAAGGTTGGCAAAGTGCTTTGCATGTATTAGCTCAACATATATTAACAACCCTGTGAGATGGGGGTGCTAGTATTATTCCCATTTTACAGATGAAGAAACTGCAGTTCGAAGGTTTAGTGACATATCCAGAGTCACACAGAGCTAGTAAGTGTCCAAGGCAGGGTTCGAACTCAAAATCAAAGGTCTTCCCAACTACAAGTGCTGCAAGATAAAAGTTGAAACACTCTACCCTTACAGCTTAAACTCCTCCTGCTTTGCTTCAGCCAGACTGGGTGCTGTGCCTTTGTCCATACAACTCTCCAGCTGAGGTGGGCCAAGCCCCATGTCTCCTTGTTGAATTCTTCCTCTCATAGGATCAGAGTTAGAGCTGTATAGCAAACACCTTAGAAGCCATCTAATCCAACCCTCTCCTTTTACAGATGAAGAAACTTAGGTCTGTAAAGGTTAAATAGCCCAAGGTCACATAGATAATAACCATGGTGGGATTTGAATTCTATGACCAGAGGGCAGGTAGGTGGTATAGTGGATAGAGTGCGGGATGTGGAATCAGGAAGACCTGAGTTCAAATCCAGCCTCAGACACTTACTAACTGTTTGACCCTGGGTAAGTCACTTAACCCTGTTTGCCTCAGTTTCCTCATCTGTAAAATGAGCTGGAGAAGGAAATGGCAAACCACTCTAGTATCTTTGCCAAGAAAACCCCAAATGGGGTCACAAAGAGTCAAACATGATTGAACAACAACCTAGATAAGCCTGCAGAGCCAGTATTCCTTGCATTGTACCATACATGGTGCCCCTCCCCCACCCATTTAAGACCAATTCAAAGACATTCCTTAATTCTCCTAGTTAGTGACAATTTATCCCTCTTTGGGATTCATAATAGCATTTGCTTTGTCCATTTATGCACTCATGCTATTTCATATTGTGTCTTTACAACATCCTCCTCGTAAATTGTAAATTTCCTGGGGACAGAGATTTGTCTTTTTTTTTTTTTTTAAGTCCACGTATCTTCCCCAGCACCTAGCACACTGTTTTGTACATAATTGTACTTAATAAGTATTTAATTAAGTTTAAAGTTTGTTGAATGTATGTGCAATAGACCTTATATTAGTTTGTATTATTTAATATTATTCATGTGATTTCACAATAACACAGGATTCCAGAAATAAAAAACTTAAATTGTTTTTATCACTAAGTAGAGGGAAGGTGAAAGGTACCTGGAAAAAACATCCATCTTGCTTTTAGGGCCATGTTCTACTCACACCAACTCTTGGTGGTGATTTCAGGCCCTTTTTTCTTGTTATACATTTCAACAATAACAGCAGAAAAAGCAACATCAACAGCACATGTTGGAGGTCATTAGCCTAGACACTGGGTCTACAAAGGAGGTGTAGTTTGGGAGTTGGTTTATACAAGCCACGGAAAATGTGGTTTCATTATTTTATTGTTCAGTTGTTTTAGTCATGTCCAACTCTTCATGACCTCATTTGGAGTTTTCTTGGCAAAGATACTGGAGTGGTTTGCCATTTCCTTCTCCAGCTCATTTTACAGATGAGGAAACTGAGGCAAGCAGGGTTAAGTAACTTGCCTCCTGTCACACAGCTAGTAAGTGTTGGAGGTCTGGTGCTCCTGACTTCAGGGCAGTTCTTTAACCACTGCATCGCCTAGCTGCCCCTTTCATTGCTTTATGTTCCCACCTTATACATATATAAGAATAAATAACCACAAGGCGATGTGTTCTAAGTTTCAGATGAGTTCTATAAACTCTATAGTAGTTCAAAGAAGGGGATAAATTGAATGAAATGTTTGTACTAATTTAAATTAACATAGCATTACTGTTCAAAACAATTTTATTATGAATTTAATCAAACCAATGTTTCTATGCACAAAGGACAAAAAGATTTTATATGACATTGTAAACTGATACATTGTTCTTGTTTTGTTTTTACAAAATCCACCTTAAAATTCAACAAGATGGCAACAAAATTGTCCGTTGTCATTTTGTTTCCTGAAAATTCCTGTAAATAAGGATAGTGATAAAGGAAAAATAGAATATCTTTGTCCTTCTGCCACCTCCACCAAGCTTTGTTACATCCTGGAATAAAATCTAATTAGATAAACAAGTTGTTTGATGTTGTGCTTAAGCATTTATTTGGGTTGTTTCAGGTGGGTCTGTTTCGGAAATCTGGAGTGAAGTCTCGAATCCAAGCCTTGCGTCAGATGAATGAGACCTTCCCAGAGAACGTCAGCTATGAGGATCAATCTGCTTACGACGTGGCAGATATGGTCAAACAATTCTTTCGAGACCTGCCAGAACCACTCTTTACAAGCAAACTAGGAGAAACTTTCCTCCATATTTATCAGTGTAAGTTGGTTCTTACAGCAATTAGCTCCCTTTAGTATAGGGCTAAGAAGATGACTTTTTGACGTAAGCTTCTAAAGTCTCCATGGATTTGGGGGCCAAGTCAGGGTGTTAGGTTTAAGTCCACAGTTTTAAATTGCCTTTCCAAAGGTGAAGAAGAAGGGGAGACTATGTGATGGTATGGAGGCAGAAATATCTATAAAATACATATAATTTTTTTAATAATTTCACTCTCTTGGAATTGTAGGAAATTCAAAGTCAAATATATAGCTGAGGCCAAATTGACCATAAGCAAAAAGTAAATGAGACTACTTTCATTACCCAGCAAATAAATCAACCAAGTGCCACATTCCTAAATTTATTTTCATGGTTTATATTGTCACTCATTTTCTCAAAGAAATGTTAGCACTGGAAGGCCTAAGAATATTTTATCTCTCCACGATGAGGTACCTTTAATTAAAACGTATTCTAAGGATTGTATTTTATTTTGTTAGTTTTTTTTTCTTTAATCAGAGGACAGTGTCCATTATAGGAAGTAGCAGATCGCAGAAATATAAAAATGAGTCTTCTGTAGGGTTGGTGATTTTATTAAAATAAACTATTATGATGAAGAAATCCCAATGCACTAAAACCACAAATTGGCCCTATTGAATACAGAGGCTTTGACTGGCTGACTGTGTAGCAATCCTTCTAAAGTTATTGATGGCACAATATTTATATAATTTGTAAGGAATGTCTTCGAGGAGGTCCATACTCACAGTTCTCAAAGAATCTGTAATGGTAGAATTTCAAAAATATTGTAATCAATATTAGAAAAAAATGATACCAGTAGATGCCCCTAAATTGACTTACCTTTGACAAAGTTTATATGCTCAGATGATACCCAAGAAGGATAAATGATATACATTATCTTGCTGGATAAGTGCAGCTATAAGATGAGATAATCACCAGGAGTCAGTTCAGAAGAATTATGTTTTCAAATACACAATACCTACAGTTGACTAGAAATACTAGACACAAAACATCAATGTAAATTAATTCTCATGTTAAATTAGATGCTGATTTTTGCTAAAGCTAGCTTGCTTCCCAGAAATATTTGTGAAGTCCTAGCATCCAGTCTAGAAAATTAAAGCTCAAGAGTAAAGATGCAAGGAAAAACCAGCATGTATTATATTCTGTGTTCTGGGTACTGTGCTAAGCCCTGTAGATATGAATATAAGGAAAAAGATAGTCCCTGCCCTCAAGGAGCTTGTATTCTAATGGGGAAAGGCCCCACAGAAAATGGTGATGGTAAAAGAGTGGAAATGAAGGTATAGGGCCATGGTTTTGAAACCCAGAGAAAGTCGGCAATAGGACCAGAAGGGATATGATGACAGACCCACCTGGACCCCTCCACAAATTGGAAGCTCTCCAGTAGGAATTCTTCAATGGGAGAAAGTGGGGAGGATGGAGGTCAGGCCTTACAGTGCAAAAACAATGGCCAAAGTAAGTGGTGAAATAGTGAAGAGAAGTTGAGTTTCAGTCCCTTGTAGAAATTAGAGGTTAGAAATTGAATGAAACTCTTTGGTCTAGTCATAGTCCCATAAGCCTCAGGGCAAATTGAAACCAGGGGGGAAAATGAATCAAGAGGTCTCTATTAGACAAAAGAATCTCATTGTCACATAGGAAGCAGTAGATTCCTTTATGATAGACATTTAGATGCCTGCTGTGAAGCTAATAGCTGCTTATAGAAATGACTCCTCAAAGCTGTCAGTTTAGTATCTGTGGAGAAGAGTTTAACTGAAGTGCTGAATTGTTTCCTTTCACAAAGAAAACTTAAAAGCCAAATATTGCCAGGCTCCTAAAGCTGAGGATATTGTCACTCCATAGAACAGTGTGTTGAGCAGCCTTTCTAGGGGCCCACCGGAATGCTCTTGATCTCATTGGAGAAAACTTCATCTCCAAGGATTTCCATTAGACAGACTGTTTCTTTCATTCTATTGCTTGTTTACTTTGGGACGTGCATGGAAGGGTTCCTTCTTGCTTCCCAAACTGAATACTGGCGGATAAAGTTTAGTGAAACATGGTTAAAAGTTCATGAGTTAAAAGCCTACACGCCTTTTGTTTTGTGTTTATGAAGAACACACTTTGTCTGTGTCTCTCTGTTTGTCTGTCTTTGTATGTGTGTCTATCTGTCTCTGTCTGCATGTCTCTGTATATGTCTCTGAGTGTCTGTCTCTGTGTCTGTGCATATCTCTGTATCTGTCAGTCTCTGTTTCTTGTGTGTTTGTGTCTCTGTGCATATCTCTGTATATGTGAGTGTCTCTGTCTCTTTTGTATGTGTGTCTGTGTCTCTGTGCATGTCTGTGTGTGTGTGTGTGTGTGTGTATCTCTGTCTCTCTGTGTGTGTCTTTATCATTCTGGTATAAGTCCTTTCTGTACATGACAGTTGTGAGACAGTCTTTCATTCCCCTGCTGGCCTTATTCTTGACTTCTGAATTTCAGAACCATGCCTCTTGAGTTGCTGGCTCATCCTGGGACTTCCCTCATTGCCTGGGTGCGGCATCCTGTCCCTAGAATGGCCTGCCACCCCCGTAGCCCATTCACCCTGGAGCATCCCTCTGGGCCCACCCCCTACTCCGGTGGAGCAGTTTCTCCTGGAGCCTTGCCTTCATTCCCCTCTTAGCCTTGTTACTGACTTTCTGAGCTTTAAAGTCACGCTGGGGGCCTTCCTTTCTGTGCCCACCCCACCTCTTCCCCGAAGCTTTTCAGCTCCTTTCATGTGCTGTTGTCTTCCTCCTTTAGAATGAAAGCTTCTTGAGGGCAGAGGCTTTCTTTGATTTTGCTTGTCCATGTATCCCCAGTGCTCAGCACAGTGTAAGCACTTAATAAATGCTTGTTTCCTTCCTCCTTCTTTCATGCACTGGTGCTGTAAACAATCCTAAAGCCTTTGGGAGCTTGGCATCCAGTCAGTCTAAGGGATTGGAGTCAGAAGTCCATCCTGCCCAACCTATAAAGCAGCATTTTCCCCAAATAATTTGGCTACAGAATATTTTGATACTTGAATTATATGAACAGAATCCACCAGTGCTGATGCTGGGGGCTTGGTAGGATAGACTGTGTTGCACAGTAGAGGGTGAAAATATTTGGAGCAAAATAGAAATCGGGAGCTCATCAATCAATAAGTATTTATTAACCACCTATTATGTGCCAAGCGTTGTGCTAGAAGCTCAGGGTGCAAGTACAGAGAATTGAGCAATCCCTGCTAACAATGAGCTTACTTGCCACCTAGCCCAACCCTCCCATTTTATAGAGGTGGAAACTGAAGCCCAGGGAGGGCAAGTTACCCAAGGTTACAGAGGTAGTAAATGTCAGATGTGGGATTTGAACCCAGGTCCTCTGGTTCTAAAGTCAGTGCTTTTTCCATTGTACCATGTAGTCTGTCCTCAAATTAGACTTCTCTTCATGTCATGCTCAGTATTTAACATTATGGTGTTTTATTTAATAAATAATACCTTAGAAAGAAAAATATCACTAACATTAATTTTTTTTCACAGAAATCTTATTTTTATCACTCAAAATGCTCCTGCAGAATCAAATTTGGAAAACAACTGAAGAGTATCATATTTCAGTTGCCACAACAACCGCTGTGTTACCAGCCTTTCACTTTTAAGAACCTGCCATATTCAGCGATTTTATTGTTCCATCTTTCTCATGTATCAGCACCCTCAGTTTTCAAGGACGGGATCTCTCTAAATCCCACACATGGAAAGACCATTTGTGTTAATTAAATTTTAATGGACTCTGCAACCCTAAAAGAGGAATATATATATTTCAGTGTAAGCATCTTCCTAGTTTGTTCAGAAGGTCCATCTCACTGACCAGTTCTTGTCTTTCCTCAGATGTTCCAAAAGATCAACGTCTCCAGGCAGTGCAGGCTGCCATCATGTTGCTGGCAGATGAAAACAGAGAGGTCTTACAAACTCTGTTGTGTTTCCTGAATGACGTTGTCAATTTAGTGGAAGAAAATCAGATGACACCCATGAACCTGGCTGTATGTCTGGCCCCTTCCCTTTTCCATCTTAATTTATTAAAGAAAGAAAGTTCCCCAAGGTGGGTTTTCCATAACAGTAGCAGGAATTGTTTGGGGGAGGGGCGGGAGTGAGCTGGGGATTCCCAACCTAGCCCTGCCCTAGTGACATACAATTCTTGTTCATTGTACTTCAAACTTGAGTGTGGCAGCACTTGTATTGAGTAAGAAAATTTTGCAAGGCACTTTAGTCTTGGTAACTTAAATTCATTGAATTTATCATGATGTCATTTAAGAGAATGACTTTAAGCTTGCCTAGGAAGGTTTATGGATTGTGTTCTTTTTTTGTGGTGTAGGAAAGGAAGAAGGCAAAGTTATGTGTTGTAAACTCTCATGGGCAGGCTACACTGAAAACCAAAACATGGAACCATGCAATTAAGTGTTTCAAATCTTGGAAAATGGTTCCTTTGCTCCCTACATAATTGTTAGTATCCCCATCTTTTCCCAAGCCTTTCAATTACAAATAATTAAAGTGGCAGGCATCCAACCTAGTTCAGAATATATAAGATATGTGGTAATCATCTTTGTTTAGAAATGAGAAAGTTTGGAATCTGGCTAGCATCTGGTAACGAATGGAAACCAAGCGGGATGGGCTCTGCATCCCAAAAATATATTTGGTTTTACATTCAGTTATGACACTGGCATTCAATTACAGAGTGATACAGAAGAAATATGCTACAGGCAAGCCTGATCAAAAAGACCTCAATGAGAATCTGGCAGCCACTCAGGGACTTGCCCACATGATAATAGAATGTGACAAACTTTTTGAGGTGAGTGAACGACTCTGGCAGCATTCTTTATAGTTCTTGGAACTCGATGAGACACTTGGAATATTTAAAATATTTATGGCTTATACTTGTTTGTTCCCTCATTTCCTTTGTATTAATAATAGCACCTTGTATTTCTCTAGCATTTACTTGAAAAAGCTCAAAGACATAAGCCTTGAAATGGAGGTTTTGATTAAGTCACAAACACCATAGACTTCATGACAGCTTTCACAAATGTAAGGGAACCACTTTGGTGGCCTGTTAGTTCATCATGTCCCAGCTATCTAAATTCCCCTTTAGATTTAACTGGATTCAGTATTTCTTGGCACTAATAAACACTGTTCATATTCCCATACAGTAGTCTATGCATTTGAGCAGTTGGTGAACTAGACCCTTGGGACATTTTTAACTGGTAGTGTTTTGGGAATGTGTTGAGAGAAAAAGGTACTCTTAAAAAAAAAAAAGAATCTTGTGGTTCCTTCTATTGGTTCTAATTCTTCTTGACAACATGACTAATATGAAAATATGTTTAATAGGAATGTATATGTAGAGTCTATATCAGATTGAATGCCATCCTGGGGAGAAAGATGGAGAAGGAGGGGGAGAAAATGTAAAACTTGAAAGTTTATGGAAGTGATTGTTGAAAACTAAAAATAAATTAATTAAAATTTTAAAAAAAAGGAAATTATTGTCCTCCCTTCATGGTTACATAATAGGCTTTATAGGATCCAACCTTATTCATACCTGGCATGTTGCTGAGTCTAGAACTAGACCCATAATAACAATTGTTCACTTATATTTAAATATATTCTTATGTATTTATATATACTTACATGTATTTGCATGTATGTGTACATGTGTTGTGCTTTACATTTATAAAGGACTTTTACAGTCATTTTCATTCAGTGCTCACCACAACATCATCATCGTCATTTGGAGCACCCTGTATAATACTTTTAAGTTTTGCAAAGCATTTTGCAAATATCTCATTTTATCCTCACTAAAACTCTGTGAGGTAGGTGCTATTGTTATCCCTATTTCATATATGAGAAAACTTAGGTAGACAAAAGTTAAGTGACTTGCCTAGGGTCATGCAGCTAGTAAGTGTCAGGGGCTGGATCTGAACTTGAGTATTCCTGACTCCAGGTCCAGTGCTGTGTGCACTGTGCCACCTCTTATTGACTGCATTTTGCGAAGGAGGAAACTGAGGTTGAGAAATACTATGACTGGCCCAGAATCATGTGCCTAGGAAGTGGCAAGTATGGCGCTTGTACCCAGATCTTCAGAGTCAAAGCCCAATATTCTTTTTTTTTCCTTTTTTAATTACCAAAACTTAAATACACAATAAGAAAAGGAAAAAAGAAACATATTATAAACATATATTGAAACTTAAATACAAAATAAAAGAAAAAAGCATATCATGTGCACAGCAGAACATAAGAGAGGATTCAAAATATATAGTAATAAATTTCCATTTGAAGAAAGCCTATATAATAAATACTACACATTGTGTTGAGAGCTGTCCATCTTTTCTTTGTGTCCTTGTAAGTTTTCTTTTCTTCTCTGCTGTAAACTTTTTACTTTCTTCTTTTTACTCCTTCCTCCTTCCCCCGCCCCCGGGCTACAATTGTGCAAGGATATATTTATTTAGGCATATCCATACATATATATATACATATATATATATATATATATATATGCCCATACGTACATACAAAGCCCAATATTCTTTATACTACATCATACATCCTCTTGAATCAAACTGATGGAAAAAGGATTAAAAATAAACTAAAAAGAAAGTGGAAGAAAAACTAGAGAAATCATCGAAAGTTGTCATCATAAATATAACTTCAGTAATATATGACCTGTATTTCTTAATCTTCCAAAAACAGTGTTAATATAAGCAGTGATATTTGGCGGAGCGAAAAACCATAATTTAGACAAATAAGATACCTATTATCCATCAGTTGGTCTAATAGATCGTAAATTCCTCAAGGGCAAAGACTCTAGTGGGTGCTTTGTAAATGTTTGTGGTTTCATTGATTGATCTCCACAGTGCCTGATATGATGCCTTGTATGTAGTAGGAGCTCAGTAAACATTTGTTTAATGAGTGATTATTAATGAAATAATTTTGAAAATAAATATTTCTTTCACTTAAATCTGTTGGCCATCTTCTGGAATAGGTCCCACATGATATGGTAGCTCAATCTCGTAACTCTTACATGGAAGCTGAAATCCATTCTCCAACACTGGAAGACCTGGGAAAACAGCTGGAAGAGAATGGAGGAAATTTCCACATGTACCTGGAACATCTCATCCAGGGTCTACAGAAAGAAGCAAAGGAAAAATTCAAAGGATGGGTCACTTGTTCAAGCACAGACAGTACAGACCTCGCTTTCAAAAAGGTAATTTCCTGGGTTAATTGACCCCAAAACCTTTTTACCAAATAGGAATTGAGACTTGGTCTTGTTCCCAGGAGTGAAACTAACAAGAGTGGCTGGAAATGGCTTAAGAGTTAGGTTAGACCTTGATATAATGAAAAACTACCAGTTAAAGCTGGTCAAGTGAGAGGAGGTAAGGGGACTTACTCTGAGCTAGAAGGGAACTTTAGAGATCATCTGATCCAACCCATTAACAAGCAAGTGACCATCTAACTTTTTTCTTGAATACTTCCAGGGATGGAAAACTCACTACCTGCTCAAGCTGCTCGTTTTACATCTGGGCAGCTCTAGTTGTTGAAAAGTTTTTCCTTACATCAAGCACAAACCTCTATGTAGTTTCCTACCTGTTACTTATTCCCTCTGGGCAGGGGTCACTATTTTAACAAGAAAAAAATTTCAAAGTACTTTGATCAGATTAATTGAATTTATCAACATGATATTTAAGAACCAAGGTGAACTGAGTAGGACAGCTGATAAGTTTGGTACATCTTTTTTGTGGTGGGGGGGGAAGGAAGAAGACAACATGATTGTCATTCCTCTTCCACTTGAGAATCCTTCAAATACTGGAAAGTAACTATTGTGTCACCCTGAAATAAGGGCTCTTAACCCGTTATATGTGGACTTGTTTTTAAAAATATTTTGATTGCTGTAGATCAATGTAATTGACTTCCTCTGTAATGCTGTTTATGTTTTATTTTATGCATTTAAAAACTTTTTTTCTAAAAACTCCATAGGTTTTATTGGACTTCCAAAAGGGGTCTGTGACACACAAAAATGTTAAAAACACTTGCCCTAAGTCTTCTTTTTTCCAGGATAAATATTCAGTTTCCTCAGCCAATCTTCCTATCACACAATCTCAAGATCCTTCACTGCTTGTTTGCACTCCTGCCTAGTCTCCCAACTTAGAAATGTTCTCCCTAATAAATGGCTCCCGTAACTGAACCCAATAGTACAGACGTGGTCTTACCAGGGTAATATACAAGAAGATTATAACTCTCAGGATCTGGACCCATTCCCTGTTTTAATGCAACCTAAGGCTACATAAAAAAGTTTGGCTGCCATAGCACACCACTGATTCATGTCGAATGTGTATAGTCCAGTAAAACATCAATTTTTTGTCTAGCCATACCTCTCACTTCTCATTATGCTCCCTTCATGGTCTTGACCCAGTAGTTAACTAGTTCAATGCTGCACTGACCTCCAGTCATGATTAGCTTTCCCCCTTGTCCTTCTACCATTCATGTCCTGTCAATCTTCAGCCCTGGGTCTCTCTAATTTTCTGCTTTCTCCATTCCTGCTCATGAACTGCTAAATGCTTCTGAAGGAAGTGACATAGCTGTGCCTACCAGGTTCACTCTAATAATCCCAGTTGGACCCTCACTACTACACAGGAATCCTTTTTATTTTCTTTGATTATCATCCTTCCACAATAGCTCTTAACGAATCTTCTCCCCCAACCCCACCACATATTCTCTCTCGGGAGACAACTTCTACTCCTACTTTACTGAGAAAATGGAGGCAATCCTTCATAAGTTTCTTAATCTCCCTATTTCCTACCTCAGCCCCTTTTTATCTTCACTTGTCTTCTCTTCTTTTACTCCATTTTCTAAGGACGAAGTGGCTTCTTGCCAAGGCCAATCCCTCTAATGTCTTTCCTTCCCATCTAATGAAGGAGTTTGCCCTCTCTTTCATCTTTATTCTTTCTCTTTCTGTAGGCCCCTGCTTCCTAAATAACATGTTCAGTTCTCCTCTATCCTTTCAGAGCCTTTATTCGACTGCCACTCTCTCAGATTACCATCTTGTATCACTCCTTATTTTCATTGTTAAATTCCTAATATTCTCTCACTGCTCGTGTTTCATCTACCTTACTCAACTGCATGCGATCTAAATTCCAACTTTGCTATCCAAATCACTGCCCCAAATGTCACCAATGATATCTTTATTGCTGATTGTAATGTCCTTTCCTCAGACTTCATACTCCTTAATCTCCCTGTAGATTTTGACACTTACTGTTCACTCTTCTTTTCTACTAGATACGGCCTTGACTTCCATGATTATACTCTCTCCTAGTTCACCTCCTGTTTGACCTCAGACTTCCTTGCAGGATAATCATCCATATAGATATCATTCCCTTTAAGTAAAAGTGTGCCCCAAGGATCAGTGCTGGCTGCTCTCTTCTTTCTTGTTGTTCTTATCCACTCCCTGGGTTCTGTTCCTTGCCCCCAATGCAACTGGTATTCCAATTTATATATCCAACCCTAATCTCTCTCACATAAACACCCACTGCCTGTTAGATATCTCAAAGGTATTTGCCATTGTCATTTACAAAATGGAATTTATTATAATCTCTCCTTCCCAACAACCTGCCCTTCCTCCAAATTTCCCTATTTATGTCAAGAGTATCACCATCCTTATTTTATCCCAGGTTCAAGACCTTTGAGTCAACCTCCTGTACTGCCAACTCCAAGTAGAATGTAAGCTCTTTGAGGGCAAAGGCTGTTTCAATTTTGTTAGCCAATGTAGATGCTTAAGAAAACAATCTGCACATACATCAGTATGAAATGTATACCAGTAAATAAGTAGCAGTGTGACGTGTTGGGTAAATAGCAAGCTTTGTAGTCAGGAAGACCTGATTTGAGTCCCACTTCTGACACATTCTGGCTGACTCTGGGCAAACCACTCATGCTCTCAGTGCTTTAGGCAACTCTCCACAATAACATGAGGCAGAACAATTGGTGATTGACTTTGCTTGAGATGGTTTCCTTACCAGGACTTCCTCACATCAGTAAAATAATGGGTCTGGGTTTTTACAAAAAGACAGAGGAAATACAAAATGAATTGCAAGGAGGGGTGCAGAATCAGGGTGAGAAACTAGGATTGAGAAGGGGATGAAATTAGGACATATACTTTATATTGAAATTGGTTTTGAAGGAAGTTTGAAGGAAGCTAGGGATTCTGTGAGGGTGGAATTGAGGAAACGGTACACTTCCAGGCATGAGGGGCAGCCTAGGCAAAGGCATGGAGATGAGAGATGGGATGTTGTATATGAAGATGAACAAGTAAACCAGTTTGGCTAAACTATGCAAAGCATGAAGGGAAATAATGTATAATAAGCCTGGAAAAGTAGCCTGGAGCCACCATATGAAGGATCACTTTAAATGGCAAAGAGAAGAATGTATGTTTTCATTTAAAGGGCGCTAAGTTGGGAGCTTTTTGAGCAGGCAATGACATGGTTAGACTTGTGTTCTAGGGATGTCAGTTTTTGCAGCTTTATGGAAAATGGATTGGAGAAAAGGGCAATCAAACTGTGCATACCCTTTGACCAAGCAAAACCACTACTAGGGCTGTATCCCAAAGAGATCATGAAAAAGTAAAAAGGACTCACGTGTACAAAAATAATAAATTTATAGAAGCTCTTTTTGTGGTGGAAATTGAGGGGATGCCCATCAGTTGAGGAATGGCTGAACAAATTGTGGTATATGAATGTAATGAAATACTATTGTGCTATAAGAAATGATTAGCAAGGGCAGCTGGGTGATGCAGTGGATAGAGTACCAGGCCTGGAGTCAGGAGGACCTGAGTTCAAATCCTGCCTCAGACACATGATCTTACTAGCTATGTGACCCTGGGCAAGTCACTTAACCCCAACTGCCTCACCAAAAAAAAAGAAAGAAAGAAGAAAGGATGAGCAGGCAGGCTTCAGAAAAACCTGGAAAGACTTATATGAACTGATGCTGAGTAAAGTAAGCAGAATCAGGGGAACTTTGTACACAGTAACAGCAACATTGTGGGATGGTCAACTGATTGACGTAGCTCTTCTCAGTAATACAGTTATCTAAGACAGTTCCAAAAGAAGCATGAAATGGGAGATGCTGTCCCCATCCAGGGAAAGAAGTAATGGAATCGGAATACAGATTGAAGCATATTATTTTCACTTTTTTGTAGCTTTTTCCTTTTGTTCTGTTTTTTCTTGTAAGACATGACTAATATGGAAATGTTCTACATGATTGCACATATATGAACTATATCAAATTGCTTACTGTCTTATGGAGGAGGGAGAGAGGAGAAAATTTGGAACTCAAAAGTTTATTTAACAAATAACGTTTAAAATTGTCCTTATGTGTAATTGGAAAAAATAAAATACTATTTAAAAGGCAAAAAAAAAAAAAAAAGAAAATGAATTGGACAGAGGCGAGACCAGAGCTGGAGATCACTTAGGAGGCGATCACAGTTATTTTTAAATGCATGGAAGGACATGTCAATTCTCTGAAGCCTGCTCTTCAGCCTGAGGACACTTCCTAAGATCACTGTTGAATTTGAGCTTAAGTTCACACACACCCTACCCCACCCCTCACCGATGATAATATCTACAACTATTTGATCATATCTTTTGATTTCTTTCCCAAAGGTTGGAGATGGAAATCCACTGAGGCTCTGGAAGGCTTCCGTGGAAGTAGAAGCTCCTCCTTCAGTGGTGTTGAACCGAGTGCTGAGAGAGCGTCACCTTTGGGATGAGGATTTTGTGCAATGGAAGATTGTGGAGACACTGGACAAACAGACAGAAATCTACCAATATGTTTTGAACAGTATGGCTCCCCATCCTTCTAGAGACTTTGTGGTTCTAAGGTAAGGCTGCTTTCCTTCCTTTAGTACCTTCCACTTCTTTTCTTCCTTCAATACATGTAATAATCACACCTGTACTTATATTGCCAGCCTTTGACACTTGTCCAGCATTACCAGCAAAGTTTCATACCATCAAAACTTTTCTTCCACTTGCATGCAGGAGGGTGGGGTTTTTGTTGTTCCAAATGACTAAATTTTCTGATCTCTGGCCTTGACATAGTATTTTCTTCAGTAAAACCTGACTTTTCCTCTGTTTAACGCTAGCCTCTTCTTCCTTTCCCCTAGTTGCAATCTTGTCCTGGTTTCCTTTATAGCCCTTACATAGACAGCACCAACTTTAGTAGACTAGAAATATTGTTCATTTCCTTAGAACAGAGTCCTGATAACAACTGCTGTCTGTCCATTGGTGACATTGCCTAATTATTCAAATGTTGCCTGCCTGGTTTTTGTCATTATTTCATTCCCCTCCCTAAGCAAAGGCGAGTCTGTAACTGGAATTGAGTTTATAGCTCCAAATGTTCACAGCTAATTACTTTGGTTGGAAACACTGATACAGCCTTAAGTATTTATAACTATTCTGGAGTCTTTCTGATGTTTAAGATTTTAGGAAATAGCTAATGGACTTAAGTTTGCTGTCTAACTGTTGAAAGTTTGCTTTCAATTGATTTATGGGATTTAGTTCCAGACCTTTGCTTTCTGGGACTGGAATTAGATGCCAATCCAATGATCTTCAGTTTTTACAGTGTAAATGGTTGGATGAGTCAGGATTACATCAGAGAGAAGAGTAATTGAAAATGCTAGAAGAATCTAATAAAACATAATTATATCAGAGCATTTTTTATTGTTAACGGGTGGAAAACAAGCCCCCTTATGCAACACTTCCCATGGAGTATGGATTTTTCAGACACCGCCAGTGTAAAGGGAATTAGTAATGGCACTCCCAAATGAATTTAAGTATTTCATACATGAAATTATTTTTTGACAGCAAACTTCTAAAATTGTATTTCGTTGCCTTTCTTTCTGGATCCTTATTCTATGGGGTGTGTTTCTCTACTGCAGTGTCTTTTAAGGACCCATTCATTAGCCAAAATCTCTGGGACCCAGATGGAGAATGTAGGCAGTCGTAAATATGACTTCTCACCACCAGTTATTTGCTGTCATCTTATGAAATCTGGAGTCTGTTTCCTTACTTTCATCAGGGCAAGGTGGAGGAGGGATGATGCCATCATATTTTCCTCCTCTCTCACTGTTTTGCAGGAATACCACTGAGAACTAAAGTCCTGTGAATGACTAGAGGCCCTCACCCTACATTGCATCCACCCTCTTTTTGCTTGGCCAGTCTTCCTTCAAGTTTATAATTATTTACTTTCATTTAACATTCCTCTGAAGCTTACCAATGGCCTCCAAATGGCTATTATTACAAATGATGGCATTTGGCCAGTATACAAAATCTCTTCTCCATCCCTATCAGTCAACAAGCATTTATTAAGTGCCTGCTATGTGCTAAGCCTGGGAAATGATGAGAAAAATGACAGTCCCTTTCTTGAAGGAATTTTACTTTTATCTTGAAATATGTCCATATGTGTACGTATGTGTGTACACACACGTGCAAAGATATATACACATCTTCACATATGCATATAAGCTCAGATATATACATAGAGATTATATATATGTAGGTGTTAATGTGTGTACATATATATATGCATAGAAGTTATGGTAGAAGCAGCATCTATTTTATATAATCTAGACTTCTTTCTCTTTTGAAAAAATTTTATATCTTTTTCCAGTTATGTGTAAAAATAATTTTTAATTTCATTTTTTTTAATTTTGGGTTCTGAATTCTCTCCCCCTGTCTTGAGGAGGCAAACACTGTGCTATAGATTATACATGTGTAGTCATGCAAAACCTTTCCCAGGATTATGGCACACTACTCTCCTTCATCCACTCAGTGATCTGGCCAAACTAGATTCCATGCTGTTCAGCATCCATGTCACTTAATCTCCCATCTCCTCACCTTTCATGGGCAAAGCCTAAGGCCTGAAATGCATTTCTTCCTCATCTTCACTTCTTATGATCTGTACTTTCCCTCAAAGCTCAACTCGACTGCCATGTTCTACACGAAGCTTGACACATAGTTGTTTAAAAGTAAATACTAGTTGACTGATTTTGAAGGGAAGGGGAATTGAAGTAGGGCCTCAGATTAAGCAAAATCATAATCACCATTGCTTTTATTAATTTTTAGTGGAAATCAGGAGGAGCAAAAACAAAGGGGAAAAAAACTATAAACTGGTTTCCCTAATGAATATTGATGCAAAAAAAATTTTAAATAAAATACTAGCAAGGAGACTATACTAATGTGTCACAAAGATCATATACTATGACCAGGTGAAATTTATACCAGGAATGCAGGATTGATTCAATATTAGTAAAATGAGCATAATTGACCACATGAATAACAAAAACAACAAAAATCATATGATTACATCAATAGATGCAGAAAATACTCTTGACAAAATGTAGCACCCATTCCTATTTTTTTTAAATTGGAAAACATAGGAATAAATGAAACTTCTCTTAAAATCTCAAGTAGTATCTATCTAAAACCCAGAGCAAGCATTATCTGTAATGGGGACAAACAAGTCTTCCCAAAAAGATAAGGGGCGAAGGCATAGATATCTCTTACCACCATTATTATTCATTACTATACTAAAAATTCCAGCCATAGCAATAACACAAGAAAAAGAATTTTAATGAGTAAGAATAAGCCACAAGGAAACAAAACTATCACTCTTTGCAGATGATGTGATGGTATGCTTAGAAAACCCTAGAGAATCAACTAAAAAACTAGTTAAAACAATAAAAAACTTAAGCAGAGTTGCAGGATATAAAATAAACCCACATAAGTCATCAGCATTTCTGTTTCTTTCCAACAAAAGCCAGCTGGAAGAAATAGAAAGAAATTCCATTGAAAATAATTGCAGGGGACAGTTAGGTGGCGCAGTAGATAGAGCACCAGCCCTGGACTCAGAAGGACCTGAGTTCAAATCCGGCCTCAGACACTTGACACTAGCTGTGTGACCCTAGGCAAGTCACTTAACCCCATTGTCTAGACAAAAAAAAAAAGAAAATAATTGCAGATAGTAATAAAATACTTTCTGCCAAGACGCACATCAGAACTATATGAACACAATTACAAAACACTTCACACAAAGACAGATCTAAACAATTGGAGAAATATCAATTGCTCATGGGTAGGCCAAGCTAATATAATAAAAATGACAATTCTACCTAAGTTGATTTACTTATGCAGTGGCATAAATACAAAAAAATTGTTTTATTGATCTAGAAAAAAATAAGTAACAAAATTTATCTGGAAGAACAAAAGATCAAGACTGTCAAGAATATCAATGGGTAGAAAATGTGAAGGAGGGCAGCCTAGCAGTACCAGATTTCAACCTATATTCCAAAACAATAATCACAAAAACAATCTGATACTGGATAAGAAATAAGAGTGTTTGATCAGTGGAATAGTGTGGGTCACAATATGTAGAAGTAAATAACAATAGTTATTTGATAAACCCAAAGATTCAAGCGTTGGGGACAGAAACTTACTATTCGACAGAAACTTCTGAGAAAACCGAAAAGTAGCCTGGCAGAAACAAAACATAGATCAATATCTCACAACCTATATACCAAGACAAAATCAAAATGGGTACATGACTTAGACATAAAGGATGATACCATAAACAAATTAGGGGAGCATGGAAAAATGTGTCTATCAGCTCTGTGGCTAAGGGAAGTGTTCATGTCCAAACGACAGAGAAAGAGGATTGTGGGAGGTAGAGTGGGTAATTTTGATTACAAGAAATCAAAAAGGTTTTCAACAAACAAAACCAATGTAGCCAAAATTAAAAGGAAAGCAGATTTTTAAAAAATTCTCACTTCTCTAATAAGGATCTCATTTCTCAGATATATAGGGAACTAAGCCAAATTTATATTTAACAAAAAGAGCCATTCCTCTATTAATAAATGGTCAAAAGATATGGACAGGTCATTTTCAGAAAAAGAAATCAAAGTTATCAATAGTTATATAAATATGTTCAAAATCACATATGTATCAGATTGGCTAACATGACAGGAAAGGAAAATAACAAGTACTGGAGGGGATGTGGAAAAATAGGTACACTAATGCACACACTATTCTGGAGAATTATTTGGAACTATGCCCAAAGGGCTTTACAACTGTACATATATATCCATTCACCCAATAATACCATTTCTCCATATGTATCCCAAAAAGATCAAAGAAAAAGGAAAAAGACCTATATGTACAAAAATATTTACAGTAGCTCTTTTTGTGGTAGCAAAGAATTGGAAATTTAAGGGATGCCTATCAACTGAGGAATGACTGGGCAAGTTATAGTATTTGATTGTGATGGAATATTATTGTGCTATAAGAAATGACAACAGGATGGTTTCAGAAAAACCTGGGAAGACTTATATGAACTGATGCAAAGTGAAGTGAGCAGAGCCAAGAAAATATTGTACACAGTAATAGCAATATTGTGACAATAATCAATTGTGAAAGACTTAGCTACTCTGATCAAAACAGTGATCCAAGACAATTCTAAAGGACTCATGATGAAAAATGCTATCTGCCTCCAGAGAGAAAACTAATGAATTCTGAGTACAGATTGAAGCATATTTTTTGTCACTTGGGTTTTTTTTTTTTTTGCTTTTTTTTGTAACATGGCTAATGTGGAAATATGTTTTTGCATGACTTCACATGTATAATCAATATCATATCGCTTACACACGTGCCTAACGAGATAATGGAAAAAAGCTTTTGCTTCACATAAATTGCAGCATAAAAATATTAATTTCTGGGATTTCATTGTCATTGTTGTTTTAGATAATAAAATAGAGCAGAAAACCTGGGCTTGGTATTTGGTCTTGCTTTCTCTTTTATATCTTGAGCTACAATGTCCTTTGTTGTTTTACTCAGGACCTGGAAGACTGATTTGCCAAAGGGAATGTGCACTCTAGTGTCTATTTCTGTGGAGCATGAAGAAGCCCATTTGATGGGTGGTGTGCGAGCTTTTGTGATGGATTCTCAGTATCTAATAGAACCTTGTGGCTCTGGCAAGTCCAGGCTGACTCACATCTGCAGGATTGATCTCAAGTGAGTATGTCATTCTTGGAGCAGACTCAACAGAGCTTCAAACGCTGTTGGAATCGACTCACACAGTAAAACTATTGGAGCTCGGTCCTTTGTCCGTCATCCTATCTCACCATATTATTTTCATAATTACCTTTCTCTGCTGTTATAGTTGATTCCTCTTGACTCTCTTCTCCCACCTCTCACCAAATTTTGCCTTTTCTTTGCTTTGCCTTTCTTCTGTTTTGTCTTTGCTTCCATTCCTGAGTCACCATCTGTGGTGGGCTTTACAGAGAATCAACTGTTCCAGCCTACCTGTCTCCTGTCCTCCTTCTCTGAGAAGCCAATTCACTTAAATCCAATGAAGTTTCTGAAGACTTTCATGGTACTGCACAGGATGGTGTTTTTCTTGGTAAATGATAGACATTGAATACAGCATTTCCTTTTTGCCCCAAGGAATTGGTATCATTTTCAAAAAACTGCATCTCTTGGCTTCTGGCCTTTTCTCTAGCTGTCCCCTATGCTTGGAATACTCTTCCTCCTCTGCTCTGACTACTGACCTCCCTGACTTCCTTTAAGTCCCAATTAAAATCATACCTTCTACAAGAAGTTTTGCCCAACCTCTCTTAATTCTAGTGCTTTCCCTCTTCCTTTGTATATATTTGTTTGAATGTTGCCTCCCCCATTAGATTGTCAACTTCTTGAGGGCAGGACTGTTTTTTGCCTCTTTTTGTTTAGCATAGGGTTTAGCACAGTTCCTGGCACATAATAGGCACTTAAATGCTTATTGATTGATTAAACAGGGAAGATTCACACAGACTTCTTGACAAAAAAGGCATTTTCTAGATATTTGATGACAGACTAATAATTGCTCATATTTATATAGCACTTTGAGATCTGTAAAGCACTTTCTTCATCATGGCCACGTGAAGTAGCGATGGTAAATTGTAGCATCCTCATCTTATGGTTAAAGAAACCAATGCTTAGAAACTGGAGGCAGGGAGAGCAATTGAAAAGCTATTAAGTTAGAAAGTCAGTATGCAGGAGTTGATAGAATGCTGGATCTAGAGTCAGGAAGACCTGGGTTCAAATGTTACCAGCAGTGTAACTCTGAGCCTCAGTTTCTTCATCTATAGAATGAAGGGGTTAGGCTCGATAAGGCCCCTAAAGTCCCTTGTAGCTCTAAATCTGTGATCATATGGTAATAATGGCTATAGCACTTTGAAATTTGCAAAGTGCTTTGGCAAATATTGTCTCATTTGATTCCCCCTAGTAACCTGTGAGGTGAGATATTACTATTATCCCTATCTTACAGAGGAGGAAACTGGATCTAAGAAATGTTAAGTGACTTGCCCTGGGTCACAGAGCTAGTAAATATATGAAGCAGATTTTGAACTCGGGTTTTCCTAACTCTAAGTGCAGTGCTCAGTCCATGGTGCCACAAGGCTGCTTTTCCTATAATTGCCCAGGACCCAAGGGCTAGTATAAGAGCCTACATTCAAACCCAAATGTGTCTAACTTTAAGAGTGTTACTCCTTCTGCTACATCTCATGTTAGTAAGAAGCAAATGTTCATAAACCTGATCTGACATTTCAAACAAATGTGTTGGAAAGAAGTACAAGAATGTCATCATGAACAATGATGGATAATTCTGATTTGGACATTGCTTTAAAGTCTTTTTCTGTTTCCCCCCTTCCCCCACCAGAGGTCACTCCCCAGAGTGGTACAACAAAGGCTTTGGACATCTTTGCGCAGCTGAAGTAGCCAGAATAAGAAACTCTTTTCAGCCTATTATTGCCGAGGGTCCAGAAACTAAAATCTGAAATGGTTGGGCAAAAGGGAAGAGAAAGAAGAAACTCTTATCAAAGAGAGAAAGACTTGGAAAGTGTTCAACATGGAAGCACTGAAAAGTGGCCGGAAACTACCAGAGGGCAGAGACTTCTCTGCAAGGTCGTCTTATGAAGATGTCCTCATCACTAATATAATAGATATTCTTTTATCAGAGCTTTTATCTCTGTTACTTAAAATTAAAGATTATTACTTGTGCATTGCCTAATTTTGCTATTTAAGCGCTTCTACGAAGCATATTTTAAATTGTAAATAAACTATGTAGAATATGTACATATTTGTGTATATCTCTATATACTGTATATATGTATAGTAATTATTATATATATATATATATATATATTACATATATCTATAATTGAATGTTTGGAACAGGAAAACACCTGTATCATTTTGACCCTTACTTATCCAATGTTCTAGGATCTCCTCAATGCAACAGAGATTAAGCAATATCCACTATTAGTAGCCCTAAGACATGATAGCCCATTGTGACATCTAACCAAAAAAATCCCTAACCAAAGGAAAAATAATTTCAGTCATTCTCTTCTGTGTAGACCATCAGTTGATATTAATGGAAAAAAAAAATATTTTAATGGAGAATTGGCTGAGATAGGTAAAAGATAATAGTTTCCATTAAAACAAAGTAGCTTTTCATAAGTAATTAGCCATTATGGGATTAGAATGCAAAAAGTAGCCAGTGAGCACCTATGTTCACCAGTCTATGTTCAGGGAGCTATAAGATATTAATGACTGTTCTAGCTCATGGTAAAGTATTTACTCTATAATAGAAACAAAAGCAGTGTTCCCACCCAGATTTAAAGATAAATATAGCTTTTTTATACTTAAAGTAGAAAAAAACCTACACTTTTTCTAAAGCTTTCATAGAGACATTTCATAATTTTCATAAATTTAATTCAATTTGACTAATAGACTTTTTGGTCACAGTTAATTAACATTTTCTTACCAATATATTGCACTGATTTCTTAACAATGACATCAATTTAAGAGAAATAATGGCCATTCAAGAGTACTGGACCATTACACTTTCAGGGAATTCATATTTTATTACATATAATACTTTTTAAAAATATAGTTCATTGAAGTTTTACAGTTGAAAGAGTGGGTTTTTAATTAACATAAAACCAAAAATATACTCCTAAATTAGTTTTAGAAAAATGTACAAGTTTATTAATATCATGTTTCTTCCTTAGTCAACTCAAGCTACCTAAGTGTTTGCCCCAACCTTATTTATTGCTGTATAGACTAATCAGAAGACTACCCAAAACCAATTGCCAATGGTTTTTTCTTTGGGTTTGTTCGTTTTTTTTTTTTTTTTAAACGCATTCAGCCAGTGGTATAAAGAGGAACTTTATTAATATGTGGATTCAGTTAGGGAGATTTTTCTTACAGCAAATCATCCAACAATTGGTGGTGGAGAAAAAGTTTCATTTACTGACTTAAAGTGTTTTGAATCTGCTTGCATTAGTTGCATTTATGTTTTCTGCTGTCAGCAACATGCAGGCATTCTGTAGAGGAGATTAAAAGTATTAGAGGTGGGAGTACTGAATTGCTTCAGTTACTTACAAGGGAACCTTTGCTGCATTATTATTTTTTTTTTTTACCGGGTGTGAAGGCAGTTATCATTAAAAAAAAAAAACAACTTTTTAAAAAATTGCACTGGGTATCTCACACCCTACGCATGAAAAGAAAGCCCATAATGTGCTACTGCCATTTGGGCCACCCTCCAGCAGCCAAGCAAACTAGCTTCTGCCAGAACACATGAAATTTCACTTTCCATGTTGTCTCTCTGTGTGCATCAAAATAAATGTTATGATCTGACTTCAAATTATCCAGTTACTGGACATGTTTCATCAATAGGGACAAAAAAAATGGAAAATGTGCAAACAATGGCAGATAAAGCAAGAAAAAGGGAGTCAAGCATCACCCAGAGGATAATTAACAAAGTGGCCATCAGAAGGGCAAAAAGACTTATTCCTGATGATCCTCCATTTGGAATTACCTAATTTTGTTCACATTCTCATTACATCTCTAAACTGCCTAACAATATGGTGCACCTTTTTAAAAAAAGTGCATTAAGCTTGTGTCAAACACTATACAGTATTTTGTTCATTGTTATCTTGCCATTGGGAATACAATATGATCATTGCATTTTTAATGTTATATTCATATTTATACCTCATGTATATTTTTACCTCAGTTGGTATCAATCGTCAATTGTAAATAAATAATTGCCAAGTCAAATAAATTTATATATGCTAAAGAATCTCTTTCCTTCATGATCTATGTTGGTTTTTATGGTGCATGACTGAACAGATTTTTCTTTAAGATTGATTCACGTTAACCTCAATTGATAGAGGCAAATCAAATGATATTATATAATTCCTATGTATTCTCCAAAACAGGGATCACACCATTGTCACTGGTACCAAATAGTCTTGAAAAAGCTCTGAAAATGCTTTAAGATATGCACTGAAGTCTTGGGTGTGTATTTTTTTTCATCATATTTCGATTCTTGTGCTTAGGGTAGAGCCATTTCTTTAAAAAAAAAACTCATTAAAAAAAAAACTCGTTATGTCTTATTAAGGGATAGTGAATGTTCACCTAAATTTAATCTCCTTTATTTGAAAATAAAATTATAACTTGAAGAAATTTATTCAGGACAATACTTGAGATGATGGAAGAGACTCCATGTGATTTTCAGGCTTCTACCCTGTTTTTTCATATGATGTGCCTTTTGTGCTTTTGTTATAATGGAACTTTAAGGATTCTTTATTTCATTGAAGACCATAGTCCTTTTCTGCCTTGAAAAACAATCTTCCTGAGGTTGCTGTGGACAAAAAAAAAATCACCTGATGGTCAAACATTCTAGTGATTCAATTCAATTCAACATAATTATTAGGCCAGGGACTAGATCTGTGGTTTCATTGATACAGGTCATTTCCAGATAAGGAAACTTTCTACCATTTTATTTTAGCATGTTCTCTGCAACTTACAGAACTACCTAGTGCAGTGAAAAGTTAATTCACTTGCCCAGAAACAGGACTTAAACCCAGGTCTTCCCAGCTCAAAGGACAATTCTATATACTACACTGCTTCATATTAGCAAATTGCAAATAAAGTTTATTAATCACCTATTTACAAAACATTGTGCTCCCTTTTGGAGATAAAGACAAAAAATAGGCCCTGCCCTCAAGATGCTTCTATTCGGGATGATGAGTTTCTCAGAACGTAACCAGTTGGCTCTTGAACAACAAGCATACAGTCCATTACAAGGCCTGTGCTTCTCTGCTGTGTTCTGTTTCAGGTTAATGAAAGGTTGAAGGGACATGCAATAAAAAGATGTGAAGACAAGAGACCTGTGTGATGTTGGGCAAAGCATTTTAACCTCTTTAGGCTTTCTCACCTGTAAAACTAGAGAAGTTAAGCTAAATGACTTCTATGGTCCCTTCTGGCTCTAAATTTATGCCCATATCTATTGTGGTAGCCATACTGTTCACTTACCAAACCACCATCCTGGAAATGTTGATAATGTTACTCAAGCTAGTTTTCAATAGCTGTAATAAAGTAGCATCTCAACACCTTGCCATTTAAGTCTGTTGGAATTTGGTCACTTTTTTTTCCTCCAGAAAATACATAAAAGGATTATGCATTTACACACTGAGCAATCTCATTTATCCCCTCCTCCGTCAGATTTACTCATATTTTGTTTTCAAAGCCTAAGGCTCGCTTGACAGCAGAGCTGATGATCTTGAAAAAGATTTTGAATAGTGGATACAAGTGAGAGATAGCTTAGTGCTCCTCCTGATGCACAGAACTGGGAAAATCACCATCTCTGAATGGGAAGGGAGTCTGGGACATCTGGTCTTATATAGTCCTGAAAGAGAATTCCTTCTATGATAGCACACAGTAAGTGTTGGTACTATCTGTGCTTACAGACCTCAAGTGAGGTGACCCATCCCATTTTGAATTGCTCTAATTGTGAAGGAGTTTTTCCTTAGAGTCTACCTAAATTTGCCTTTTTACAACATCCACTACTGGGCCAAATGACCCAAGTAGAATCCCTATTTGTGTCCCAGCCCTTCAAATACTCCACACTGATGGTTTGCCCATTGTAAAAAGAGCAAGGAGATAAGTATTTAATTTTGCAACAATGTAAAACAAAAGAAGACCAATGAAAAACTGAAATTTTGAACAACTCCCACTGTGCTAATGTCCAGTGCTCATGAAGATTAGTCCTTCTGCAGATTGTTTAAAAATCATATTTAATTGTGGATTTATTCTCCATGTGTTTTGTACCACCTGGCCACCTCATCTTGATCTCCAGTTGGTACATGCTCCACTTTATGCTAAGTAATACTATGGAAAATAAAACTAGAAAGTTAAATATGTTGTGAAAAAAATTAGAATGAATTCTAAAGTGAAAAATGGTCATTTTAAAAAATGTCTATTATTTTCCACCAACATTATTACTGCTCTATTAACCAAGATGATTAAGAAAAATCTGGCGTCCCCCTTAAATTAGAACATTCTGAAAAATGCAGATACCTCCTTTTATATCAAAAAAGAAATGATTTGGAGAACTTGTAAAAAAAAAAATTCCACCTGTTACACGTATCACAATAGCACAGGGTTGTTGTTTTTTTCCTCTAGTGTTCTCAAGATGGAAGAGATTATCACCTAATCAATATGTTTACTGGTACCTAGTGAGGGATACGAAAGTATGTCAACTCCTTAATTCACAAATTCTCCAGGAATGAAGCCCTTTTATTATGGAAGTAGTGACCACCTTAAAAAACGAATCATCATAAATCATGTGGGAATCAATATCAGTCAACTCAAGGGCACCGTTGCCAGTAAGTGGTGGAAAAGATTTTTATCTGTGTATCCATTGTCAGCGATGTCAATCCTGGACAACCTTGAGAAGTATGTCTTTGGGATCCTCAAACTCCCTCTCTATTCACTGATCCACTTATCGACTTCTGTTTGAGGTGTGTTGCCATGTGCGTAAGCACATGTTATTTTGTATGTCGTAATTATGATATAAAAGGTTTTATCCATTATTAAAAGAATCTTAGATATTCATGAGCAAGATGGGACCTTGAGACCACTACAGCCCTCAAGCTATACTCTTCAAATCCTGGGGGTTTAAAACTAGAATCAAACCCCTCACCTCACGATAATAAACACAAGTCAAATGATTTACCCAAAACAAAGAAAAAAGCCACAGAAC